GAGCCTTTGAAAGTGAGCTCCTTGCCTGAAGAGTGGAAGTGGACACGAAACCAGACCTCTTTCTTCTTCCTCTGTAATACCAAGTCACTGGGAAGGTCTTGAGGACCTCAGTGAACAGTATGACCCTTTTCCTTGAGCCCCAGAATCTACCTTGCCAATTTTCCATGCCTTTCAAAACATCAGGGTGGTATTTAAACCATTCTCTTCCCTTCTTCTCCTTTCTTTCCTCTTAACTTCTTTGCTGCCCCCTTGTTTTCTGGGGTTTTGACAGTCTTCTTTCAGCAATCGGCGTTACATTTTTCCCAGATTCCATTAATCCTTTGGTGAGTATTTAAGGATGCTTTTCCTATTGGAAATTTCTGTCTACTTGCCTGGCAGTAGGAGAGATGACGCTTCCAAGATTCTTTCTGGCAATTCTGACATGGTTATAGCAATGTAAGATCCAGTGTCCCAATGTTTATCTACTTAGTACTAAGTAGTACATTCATTGTCCCAGTGCTGTGACATGAGATTCAGGTTGTTGTTTTTTTTTTTTTTTTTTTTTTTTTTTTCAGACACTCCCTGCCTCTGGTGTCCTTGGCTAAAAGTCAAGGGCAGCTTGTTCAACAGGGTATCAGGATCTTAGGTTAAACTCCTTAAGCTGGTCTGGATATACTAAGCTTAACTCACATCTCTGTGCAGCTCTGTCCTTCACGTCTTCGAGGACAATCAGCTACCCTCAATGCCCATGACTCAGTAGGATTCCATGCTATTGGCCTGTAGCGATCTCCCATTGTGGGTTCTCTCTCTCTTCACCTAGAATTCAACTCCTGTCTTGCTGTCCTCAATACTCTGAAGGCACACATTGGTCACAGATTAGCTGCAGTGCCCACGGACCTGTTCATTTTAATTGAATTAGTGCCCAACATTTAAAGATCAGAAGATTTCACAGAAAAGTCATATTTTTTTGTTTTTTCATTGAAACCCAAGCAAGACAAAAGAGAAGATCTAGTGACCTGGGCTAACCTGGAAGGAATGCCTGGAGAGCGTCTAATCTGTTCCCAAAGTTGATCCAACCCCCTTCTTCCTGCACTCGGTCCATCCTTTGTACCTTGAACTAAAAATGGATAATTCCATCCCATCTTTCTCATTTCTTCTCAAGTGTGTTCAATCTTTTGTTTAATTCATTAAATTTTTTTTCCATTATCATAGTTATCATTTTGAGAAACTGTATTGGGTTCTTTTTCAAATTCTTGACTGTTTTGACCATTCTTTGTAGTATCAGATTCTTTTTTTTAAATGTGTTTTCATATTTTTAATTCCTTAAAGCTTATGAAAAATAGTTATATTACCCTGTGAGCCTCAGGACTCCAATATCTGAAGACGTTGTGATTCAGTGTGTGCCCTGATTTGTCCCTCAGCTTTGTGGCAGCTTGACCTGTGATTTCTCTGGGGCTCTGGTTGAAGTTGACTTTCTCCCTAAAGGATTTATATCTGTTCCTGACTACCACCTGGCACACCCCCAATCTGAGACCACGTTAAGGTTTCTTGAACCGGGGGCGCCTGGGTGGCTCAGTGGGTCAAGCTGCTGCCTTTGGCTCAGGTCATGATCTCAGAGTCCTGGGATCGAGCCCCGCGTCGGGCTCTCTGCTCAGCAGGGAGCCTGCTTCCTCCTCTCTCTCTGCCTGCCTCTCTGCCTGCTTGTGATCTCTCTGTCAAATAAATAAATAAAAATCTTTAAAAAAAAAAAAAAAGGTTTCTTGAACCACAAATGTATTCCTGACACTGAGGGGTCCCAGCTGTATGTGGTGGATAGGATGGGGGTCACCTCCATTGGGCTACACTGACTCCTGCTCGTCTCCTGAGCTACTGACCCTCAGACAAGGCTTTGGCACCTGTTCCCTGACTACAAATGATGTTCTGTGATCGTGGATCGGTGAGTCATCTCAGAGTAAAATGTAGCAGTTTGTCGGTATTGTTGAGTAACAATATTTGGATTTATGATTTGTCCTTGATTTTTGTGGAATCTGGGGAGGAAGTTTGGGTTTCAATGGTTAAGACTGGTCATGTAGCTAGAATTTATCTATTAGAGACCCCCACCACGAGCAGTTCCTGGTACCAAGGCACCCAGGTGCCTCACCCACCTGGTCTCCCATCCATAGGTGCACAAGTACACACAAGCACACATACCAGTTCCTGTTACCACCCGGAGACAAGGCTCTCCTAGGAGACCCAGGCATGGAAGGACAAAAAAGCTGAGGCCTGCAGTCTCCGGACCCCTTTCCATGCATGTCCTTCTGATGCTGCTAGTGTGCTGAATCCTTTGTCAGCTGTTTTGTGAGTTTAAACTGAATCTTGTGAGTTTTTCCAGCAGTGAAACACCCGAGGGGATTGATATGTAATAAACATACTAGAGGTTCCTTCTGGGGTCCCCACCTTGTTCAGGCTATTTCACTGTCTTCCCAGAGCTCTGAAGAGCCGAAGAAGGGAAATCTCAGTGTCTTTCATGGTTTGCTGCAAATACACTGGGCTCCTCCCTTCACTCTGCTTTTTGATTCCTCTGAGGACTCCTTACTTCCTATCTAGGTCACAGATGTGTTTCATCCACAATTTTTTTTTTCTTTTCTTTCTTTTTGTTTATTTGAGAAAGAGAGTGCACAAGCAGGAGGGAGGGGCAGTGGGAGAGGGAGAAGCAGGCTCCCCACTGAGCAGGGAGCCAAACTCGAGACTCAATCCCAGGACCCCAGGATCATGACCTGAGCTGAAGGCAGACTCTTAACCAACTGAGCCACCCAAGTGCCCCAGAATTGCTTTCACAAGAGGGACCTTATTCAGTGCATCCAATCTTCTAAACTGCCAGAAACAAAAATCTCCAAGTCAATGTGTGTGATACACACACGCGAGGGATATGTATGTGCCTACATCTCTACATCTCCATACACAAACGTTTTCATATGTGCCTAGACAGCCCAGCCTTGACACTTTGCTGTTACTAGAGGTGTTGTCCTCTCTTTCCCTCCACTGTGCCTCTTTGCACCGTGTCAATCAACCACCTGCTGCCTGCAGAACACCTGTGGCTTACTGCCCATTTTGTAGATAAAGTTTCCCCCAAACTCAGCCACACCCAGTTGTTTCTGGCTTGTCAGAGTGTGCTCTAATGGCTGATTAGGAAGCCACAAAGAACTTCTGGTCCACAAAGCCTAAAATATCGACTATGTGCCCCTTTATAGAAGGAAAGAAGGGCTCCGAAGTGCCTCATTGTTGCATTCTGCGTCTCATCGTTTGATGTCTGCTATTATTTGAAATTACACAGTGTTTCAAATCGGAGCGTGTTCTGCCTGCTGTGAAAAGTTCACGAAGCATCTTCAGGGGAATGATGCTGTGGGGTATCTTGTATTGGATGTCAACATATCCACATCGTGGGTGGGTGTGTATGAAAGGTTCACAGTGACATCTGACAGCGCTCTATCAGGAATTCATGAAGAACAGGAGATTTTCTGATTCTGGAGAACGGAATTGCTAACCAGCCCAGGACTGTACCTGGGCCTCTGACATCAAGAAGCAAGGAATTCGGGGTGTCTGGGTGGCTCAGTCGGTTGGGTGTCTGCCTTTAGCTCAGGTCATGATCTTAGGGTCCTGGGATCCAGCCCTGCATTGAGCTCCCTCCTCATTGGGGAGTCTGCTTCTTCCTCTGTCCTTCCCACCTGCTCCTGCTCTGTGTCTCTCTCTGTCTCTCTCTCTCTCAAATACATAAATAGAATCTTTGAAAAAAAAAAAAAAAAAAAAACAATTAAAACCACAGGGTCAAGGAGCCAATGGAGAAACCTATAGAGATAAATCTGACTCCGGGGTCTTACTGCAGCCCAAGTAACGGTGAAGTCCAGCAGGGGCCGGGCTTCCAGGCCAGGTGGAGAAGAATTCGGCTGAGTGCAGCCACTGCTTCTGTTCCAAGGGGACCACCGGGCAGGGAGCCCTGGCTAGAAATCACCTCGCCTTGAGGACCAGGGGATTGGGGCTGAAGACCCTCTAAGGCACACTGTGCTTCTCTTTTACCTGCTGTGCCCCTGAAACCAGGGATCTGTTTGGAGAGCTTGGGGGTCAAGAGAGGTTAATCCAATACCTCTCTGAGGACCTGGGCTGAACGAAACATCCAGGGAAGGTCAGAGCCTGGAGTTTCAGAGTCGTGCTCCCGGTAAGGGGTTAGGAGACTGTGTTTCCAAAGGTTCTGATTAGTGAATGACGCTGCAGCCCAGGACTGAGCCAGCATTGGCTGGGCAGCGGCCATTTCATTAATTGGTCCACAGTCTGTCAGAAGGAAGGAGGCTCACGTTGCTTTTTTCGGAGGCTGTGTCATCTCAGTCACCCACATCCATGGGCCTCACATTCCTGGAGCTGCCTGACCCGGGGCCGTACATGGCACATACGGGTAACTTGCAAGTGACTTTCTCACGCTGGCCGTGGCCGCCCTACCCTCTGGGGAGGCACTTCACGGGCGGTGCTGAACCTGGCCCAGCACTCTCTCCTGCCTTCTTTCCCATGGGTGTTCCTGCCACTACCTGATTTCCATCACCTGAGCCTAAGAGCTGGCTCCTGCTTCTCACAGATTCCATCTTGGGGTCTTGGCATTTGTCACTGGTGTCCTCTAAAGAGGCCTGCTTGGTTTCTTGTCCTGCCATTCCCCATGCATCCTTGGCTCATTGCCCCAGCCAGCTCCCTCCTTCTGCCGCCACCAGTGCTGTTCTTTCCAGGGTAGTCCCAGTTCCTCGTGGTGGCCTGCAAGCTTCCTCATGGTCGGCCCTCACCTGGAACTTCCTTTCCAGGATCACACTCCTCCCTGCCTTCTAGCCCATCCCAATGGTTTATTCACATCCTGATGTTCAGGTAGGCCAGCCATGTTCTCCTCCCACTGTACCTGGCTGTGGCCACCATCCCCACACTGGGCTGTCCCACACAGGGCTGTTCTACACCAAATATACCACTCTGGATGTCCTAGGCTCAACTGTCCCACACTGGGATGTCCCCTACTGGACTGTGTCACACCAAGCTGTATTACACTGGACTGTCCCACACTGGAATGTCCCACACTGGGCTGTTTCACACCGGGTGGCCCCACACTGAAATGTCCCACACTGGACTATGTCACACCAAGCTGTCTCACATTGGACTGTCCCAAACTGGAATGTCCCACACTGGGTTTTCTCACACTGTGCTGCCCCACACTGGAATGCCCCACACCAAGCTTTATCACATTGGACTGTCCCACACTGGGTTGTCTCACATTGGACTGTGTCACACCAAGCTGTCCCACACTGGAATGTCCCATACTGGGCTGTCTCACACCGGACAGTCCCACACTGGGCTGTAACACACTGGGCTGTCCCACACTGGACTGTGTCACACCAAGCGGTCCCACACTGGAATGTTCCACACTGGGCTGTCCCACACTGGAATGTTCGACACTGGATTGTCTCACACTGGAATGTTCCACACTGGACTATGTCACACTGGAATGTCCCACACTGGGCTGTCCCAAACTGGGCTGTCCCACACTGGCTTGTGTCACACTAAGCTGTCCCACACTGGAATTCCCCACACCAAGCTGTCCCACGCTGGAATGTCCCACACTGGAATCTCCTACACCGCTCTCACTGGGCTGTTCCTCACTGCACTGCCCCACCCTGGGCGGTCCCTCACTGGACTATACCCACTGTACCCACACTTGACTGTACCACTCTGGGCTCAGGTGTCTGGCAGTCTCATTTGTTTGGTCTTCCTTAGACCCTGTGCTGGAATGTAAGCTCCCTTTGGGTAGGAGTCTTGGTTTTATTCATAAAATCAATTCCCTTAACACAGAGCAGCACTTAGTCCAGAGAGGATGCTCAATAAATATTTGCAGGAAGAAGGAATTTGAAAGGGTTTTTCTTTGTAATCTATTATAGTCCCTAACAACCTTTCCTACCAGTAAGTTTCCCCTCTGTTCAAATTAAACCCCTCTGCTACAAAGCCAGCGTTTCCTTGTCTGGGTTTCTGATGCAGCTGGCAAACCAATTAGGCTCCCATTGCCATTAAGAACAGTAACCTGGATTCAAAGGATTCAGTGAGTCTTTGCTGAAGATTTTTTCTCATCTACTCTGAGTAATCTCCATGTCTTGAATATTTCTTCAGAAACTTTTAACTATTTTTCACAGACTAATCTGGAAAAGGCCCACATTAGACAGGCGGTTTTTGATGTTTACAAAATAGTACAAGGTTTGGTCTCTTCTCTTTTAAAACCTACAAGGTTCTGGAAAGCAGCTTGAAAGCAAAGGCTGATGGAGCTCAAGTAGGCTCATGGTGTGCTTTGGGCTGGGAGGGTCTATGATCCTGAATGCTGGTGGTTTTGGGTGTGTTTCTAATGAGAATCATCAGGGAATAAAGTGGCTTCATCCCCCCTCATATGGTGGAAAGCTCTGTCGGCAAATTCAGCCTGTACGGCTTGTCCTCTCAGCGCTGGCTCAAGACCAGGATTCTGTCCCCGAGAGAGGATTGTCCTCACAAATGTTGAAACCAGGCAAGAGAAGGCAACACCCCATCCCCTTTCTCTACCCTTCCCATCCTCCTGGAAAGTGCCCACAAATGGGAACAGGTCAGGGCGGAGAGAAAGTGTGAGGGGTAGCATTTTACTGTGGAGCAAAATGTCTCCCGAAACGCAGTATCCAAGACTCAAGATGCTTCAAGAACTGGGGCCCTGAGCTGCTTTGTTGGAGCTTGTAGAGAATCTCAGGGGGCATTGGTATGGAAACGGTGCCAGAACTCGATTGTGCTATTTACCTGTGGTGACAATGAAGGGGTATCAGGATGGCCAAAACTCTACTGGACTTCTCCAGTAGACGGTCTCCTTCACTCTTGCTCTGTCTTCTGGATTCCACTTCCATACTAAGCCTGAATAATCTTTCTAAAGAATAATCTTTCTAAAGCCCAATCAAGATGTGTCTCTGCTTTGTGGGCTTCAATACCCCTCGTGATGCCCAGACTTAAGCTTGTGCTCTATGGTGCTTTATGACCTGTCTGGTCTCTCCCTCCCTGGCTTCCCTTCTGCTCTCAGCCTACTGTAGACATGGGCTGCCAGGGGCTTCAGAGTCTGCAAACTCCTGCTTCTCCTGCCCAGCCCCCTTCCTCACCTTCCTCATTGTTTCTCATGTCCCATGTCCTTCTCCTATTTTTCCTTACTGGACTAAACTCTATCCATCTTTTCAAACAACACTTATGGGTCTCTAATTTTCTGCCCTTCTAGCTTCTCAGCGTCATTAAGAAGTGTTTGTTCGTTTATAAGCATTTACTGATTGTCTGCTACATGCCAGGTGCTAGAAATAGAGCCAAGGCAAAGACTCAGACTTCGCCCTTAAGGAGCACGCGGACTGGATTTCCAAGGGTCCTGCTCCTAGTTCATGAACTGCAAGGAGTGAGAAAATCGACAGACCATCCCTTGTATACAGGAAACACTTAATCATTACTAGCTGAATTTTGTTTAAAAGTTAGAAATGAAATATGAGCTTTTCGAGTCATAGGAATACACCATCACTCATATATCAAAGTGTGATATTCCCTTTATGGTGAACATAAATGCCAGTGTGATTACATGTATTTATTAGTGTAATGTGCTGTTTTGCCAGCATCTCAGGTCTAGCAGGAACCAAAATGCAAGTTTTCTCCAGGATGAACATTTCGCCATGCCCTGCAAAAAGCCTTCCGTTCTGGGCTCAGAGAGAACACTGAAAGTTTGGAATTTATGTTTAGCGTTGTCCTAATGGTATGCCATGGTTGCTATGGAAATGGTGGTATTGTTTATTATTGAATGAAGAGCAAAAATGAGTCCAATAAGATAAATCTATAATATTGATAATCGAACAATCTTGGAATGTGGTGATTTTGTTTTTTCTTCTGCATTTGTCAGAAGCAGATTGAAAAAAACCTTCCAATTAGTGGAAGGCCACACTGCATTTGTGTATCTGCTGGCCCCCTGAGGTAACTCATTTCTGATAATAAAAAGGAGCATTACTTAATTAAACTTTTATTATGCTGGTGGATCGGGCAACCATAAAATGCACCTCGGCAAATAATTTATTGACCATATGATAATGAGGGAACATGCCTAAGCTGCTGGAAAGTCCTCCTGAGTCCACGGAGAACGATATGGAGAATTGATCACTTTCAGTGTGTATGTGCTAAAACGGGAAATGATCCGCTCAGCAGTCTGTGTGTTCCCCTCCATAGCTAATAGAAACTTTGTTGCACTTATACTCAGTGGGGGATCAAATCTCAATTTTAAAAAATTTCTGTCAACAGTCATTTGTCAAGCTCAGTAAGAAGAGTGATAAAGACTGAAGAGATTCAGCGTTGCTAAAATGGCACCAGTGGCTCTCAGAAAACTGGGGGGATGCTCGCTGACCTCACATAGGCTGCCAAAAAGATTTGAGGACCAAATAAAATGGTTGGATTTGAATGGCACGGCCAGCTCTGCAGAAGAGCAACTCATTTAGTTTTGGCTTTAATCTTTGGAGAGAAATGCTCTATATCCAGTGATAATGATGCAAAGCCTATTCTGATCTTTTCAATAGCCCCATTTTTGGCAGGCCTTCCCAATTTGGGGGGCCAATTTCTCCAAGTAGAACAAGAGGGTGGATGAGGTTCTGTTGTTGCACAACTTGGTGGCTTTATACATCAACTATTTTATTGTTCACTATTCTGTAAGTAAGGGATTCAGGGAGGGCGTGTACTCATCTCTGTTCCAGGTGTTGCCAGGTGGGCCAGCATCTGGACTGGGGATGGAAAAGCCAAGATGGCCCCACTCACACAGCTGGACTTTTGGTAATGACTATCAGCTGGGGTGCCTTGGTTCTCTTCCCTGTGTCCTTTCTCCTTCTCCAGGGTTTCTTGCTCCCCATGGCCTTAGTCTGTGAGGATACTGGACATCATTACTTGGCAAGAGAACAAAAAGTGAAGATGCCATGCCTCTTCACAACTAGCTTGAGAGGTCCCACAAGTTCCCTTCTGCTACATTCTTTTGGTCAGTGCAAGTCACAGGGTCAGTTGAGGCTCAGGGAAGGGGACTAGACCCCTTCTTGGAAGAGAGAGCAGCACATTCACACTGCAAAGAGCATGAGGAGTGGAGTGAGGGGGGCGGTTTTATGTGGTGATCTTAGGAGACAATCTGCCATGGGTGGGGAGACTATAATCACTTTTGAATGTTCAGCCAATCTTGGAAGTCATTGTTATGCCCTTTTATCTCTGAGCCCTGAAGTTAGAGAAACTGAGCCCAAGCAAGTTGCCTGTTCCCCAGCAACCCCACTGTCCAAAATTTGGTTGTCACATATGCTATGGATACCAGAATAAGCCAATATGCTAGCAAGGTGTTTCAATCGAACAGTCAAGGTCCTCACTGATCATCTGGCTTCCACACTCATCTGTCTGGTGTAAAGTTATCTCTCAAAGAGACACCTGATTAAAACCAAATTTACAGTATTGAAGCCAGACAATAATGGAGCTGAATGAAGTCAGTGTCTTAATATCTTCCAGAAAGACTCAAGGGAGCTGTCTTGCTGGGTGGTTAATTGTTTCATCCCCTTAGTTTGGACAAACCCATGTCAATTTTTAAAATACTTTAAACATTATTATTAGTTTCCATCAGGCAAACTGTTTATTTTAACCCTGCTATCATTTCCCAGTATCACTTCCTCTTATTGTCAATGAATGACCCTGGGAGATCTTCCATGGTTGCCTACCAAAAGCTAGCTGAAGCCAGGGGCTACCCCTGTCCCTAGAAAGGGGGATGATCAACTTTCCAAAGGACAAGGGACACTGCGAAATTCTAATACTAGAATTGAGTACTTGTGCATCATTGAATTCCTTTGTCTCTGAGTCCCAGGCAGCAGCAGGTAATGTCTTTAGGTATTTTCCAGCCCTTGCCAGACAAGAACACTCGTTTGTTCTTACTGGTAAGATAATCCGCTCTTTTTCCCAACCAAGACTGCTATGGAAAACAGAATACACTGGGGTACCTGCAAATTTGTAGAAATATTTGGACTTTTTTAGGGCTGTTTATTTTCATGACCAACCCAATGCATATACTCATATGTTCAAACAACAACAGTACTCAGTAGATGCCACAGATTTTGACCTCTGGGCCAAGGAGTGAATATGTGACCTGCTAAGTAGAGGGCATTATCCCCCAGCAAGAGTAATTCCAAGGAGAAGTTATGTGACTAAAGTGGAGCAGATCAGTCTTGACACTGGAAAAAAGAAGCTCTGACTTACTGTGTGGTTGCTGGTGGGTCATTCACCAGCCTTACAGAGAAGGTCCCATGTCTACAGTAGGAGACAACAAGGACAATACACAAAAAGGAAAGAGACAAGCAGAGATGAGAGATGGCAGAGAAAAAGTTGGTGTCAGGACTGAGACCCCAGCTGTCATCCTGTAGATCCTGGGTCATGAAGGTCTTTCAGTTCTGTGAGCCATTTAGCAACTTTCCTTGCTACAAAAGCCAATACCTTCCTTTTGTGCTTATCAACCTCTCACCATATAGAATTGCTATGTTTCAAAGAACACAGTTGACTCCTGGGTTTTTATTTCCACTCCATAAGGAAGCACATGATGACTGCATAATATTGTGATTATCCTTTGTAATAATATTGCCATAGAGAAATATAAAGATTTTGTAGACTAAGTAGATTATTATCTCATTAAAGTTAAAACATATATATATAAAATATATGTAATGCAAATATCTCCTGGCTTGGTATCTCCTGTTGCTGATTGCATTTTAGCCGCATTGATATTTCCCATCCCATGTGTCCTTCTACAATGTGACCTTGACACTTAATCTATCAAGATGGGTGGTCTACGTTTCCTTCCTTTGGAGCTGGGCAACCTAGTGTCTCATTAGTAATGAACAGAAAGTGGCAGAAGTGAGGCAGTGTGACTTCTGAGGCTAAGTCATCATAGCAATGCTGTTCTTACCTTGTTAGTTGGGACACTTTTTTTTTTTTTTTTGAGCACTGACCCACCAGGGAGTAAGACTGAATACCCTGAGGCCACCATACTGTGAGGAGGTGCAGGTCAATGGAGAGACCATGTGTGGGTCCTGGAGTTGATAGTTCAAGAGAAGATCGCAGGTGGAAATCAGTATCAATTACCAGACACATGGATGAAAACCCATTGTAGTGATGCCAAGATCCATCCAGTCAGCCTCAGCATATTATTTCTGGGAGGTCTGGAAAGGGTCTCTTGCATGTACTCACAAACTGGTCACTGCCTGCTGTCTCTGCTGTTGTCACAGATCCATCCTTGTCACTGTCTTTCTCCTCTTGTTTGTGATGCTGCCTGAGATTTCCTATCCTTACCTTTGCCCTCCCTCCACTCTCATTTCAAAGTCCTTGTTGAAGAAGAATGATTCTAAAGCTTCCAGTATTTGGTAATTCCAAGGCTGGTGAAGGTTCAGTGTTGGGGTATGAAGAGACCTGTGTCCCTAATTTTTGGTCACACTTTGTCACCTGGTCTCCAGAGCAGCTCAGGGTGACACAAAGCCCTTCCTTAGCAATTTCACGCCAGCCCTGGTCACCATGACTTCTTCAATAGCTCTTAAAGAGCACTTACTGTGGGGCACAGGGCTATTCTAACCACTCCAAGAATATTAACTTACTTAAACTTTACAATAGCTCCATGAGTTTTGTTTTATTTTCACAGGTGAAGATACTGAGTGGGAGGAATTTTCCCAGGCTCACTCAGCCTACAGTCAGAGAGCCAGGATTTAAATCCAGGTGGTCTACTCGAAGTCCATGCTTTAAAAAAAAAACATTTATTTGAGAGAGAGAGAGAGTGCACACCTGAGTGGTGGGAGGGACAAAGGAAGAGGGAAAGAGAGAATCTCAAGCAGACTCCCTGCTGAGTGCAGAGCCTGATGTGGGGCTTGATCCCATAACCCTGAGATCATGACCTGAGCCAAAGCAGAGAGTCACTTAGCCACCTGAGCCACCCAGGTGGCCCCAAAGCCCATGCTTTTAACCATGGTCTCTTATGGGTCCTTGGTGGCTCTCATCCAAGCCGTGTGACCAGGGAGAGAACAGAGGCCACACTATCTCCTCCACCTTCCTTGTCTCTCTTATGCCTCCTTCTAGGTTACCTTGCTGGTTG